TTTTTTTTTTTTAAATGTTTTTTCTTGGAATCTTCACCAGTGACTGAACAGAAGAACACTGATCAAGTGACTTTAAACTGCTCTGTGTGGACATATAAACGGTGTAAACACAAAGTGAGGTGGATCCATGACAGTGGAGGTCTGAATAGAGATTACTCAAACATAAAAACATTACAGTCGCCCTGCTCTGCTGCTGTTACTTTTATAAAGTCATCATACAGTCACATATCTAACTCTGACTTTAAGTGTAACGTAACAACAGAAGAAAACAAAGAGCAGCTTTTTACCTTCAGGCCTCAGTCATCAGGTAAGAAACCAGGAGAGATTCGGTTGAGAAAATTACTTTCAACTGATGTGAGGAAAGAACTTTTAATTAGCTGAATTTGATCTTTTGTTTGAATGAAGATACAGTAACATCAGCAACAACAACAACAACAAGAAAAGTAACAACAACAAGAACAACAAGGACAACAAGGACAACAAGAACAAAATCACAGACTGATGACCCAGGTGAGTTTTCTTTTTTTTCTTTTTTTTGGAGGGGGGTTCAAAGCAATGATTGAATAGTTTTTTGTTAAGTCACATGCATGTTATATTTGCAACTTTTCTACCTCTTAGACATTGAACAGTAAATGAAATGCTTCAGATATTTGTGTTCAGGTGCAGCTCTGGTGTGGCCGTACATCCTCGTGGCTGTCATTTCAGCAGCACTTTTAATCTTTGCTGTGAAACTGATTGTACTGAAGAGAGGTGAGAGAAAATCCCACATTAAATATTAAAGCTGAATCTTCTCTGTGGTCAAGTGTGTAATCCTGTTTTTCTTTTCTTTTCAGGGACCAAAACACAAGCCAATGAAAATGTGAGTTTAAAAATAATCTTTACTAAACATTTTAATTCTAGATCAGAAGTGATGCAGTGGTTGGTGCAGCAAAAGATCAAGAAAAGAAAAAAAGAGGGTGCAAAATTCATTTTTGCTTTGATTTTATAATTATTAACTCCAAAAATGACATCAGCCTATGTGCAAAGTCCTTTCTGATCACAAAAAAGACCCTATGGTACTGGTAGTTGGACTTTTGTGTTGCATTTTATGTGTTTTATATCATTATCTATCTATGATTGTTGCAGATGTTTAAACACTCAAAAGTAACTGGAAGTTGCACTGATGTAATGCATATATTTATTCAGGCTTGACTTCAAATCCTTCAGTCATTTAGAAAATAATAAGGTCAAACTCACAACTTCTGCTGTTTGAATTTGTTCTTCAACATTATAAAACTAACTTTACAACATGAGACTGTGCAAGAGATAGATTTCAAACTGAAGGGAAGTGAACCGCTGCTGTCAAACTAAGCCAAAAGAAGTGGTAACACATTTTGAGCGATAACATGACATCGTTGGCAGAGACGGGTCAGTGTAGATCCTCCTGCATCTCAGAGAGCAGTAATCATGTTTTCTTTACTGTGTAGGCGGATCATGAAGATGGTGTTTCCTACATCTCCATCAGCTACACCAACAAGGCTAACAGTGAAAATAAAGTAATGCATATGATATGTTTCCGGCTTCATCAGTGCATTAGTAAATGATGTTTTCACTGTGTTGTGTTACATGTGGTGAAACATCCTGTGGTCTGTGTGCTTCCAGGTTCGGGATAAATGTGAGAGTGATGAGACAGTTACCTACTCCACTGTGAAAGCTTCCTCCACAGATCCCAGCAGCCTCTATGCTACCATAGAGTAAACAAAAAGGAAACTTAATCATCAGGTCATTGCTTCTGTGAAAAAGCTTCGTCCCTATAAGAATTATCGGTTTGCTCAGTTTAAAAGGAGGAAGCAGTTGTGTGAGTGCTTAAAAAGCAGAATTTGTGACACATTTTGTTTTGTAACATTTGAAAGGCTTTCAGTTTTATTTTATCTTTTGTTCAAAGTTTTGAAATGATCTACATAGATGCGTTTATTTTGCTATTTGCCTGTAAATTTTCTAAAACTGCAGTAATTTATAAGTTTAGTTTCATTTTTTCCATAAACAATTATTCAAACATTTGTGTCTCATTACTCTAAGCATCAAAAGCAGGATTAAATGGAATCAGGCATCAGAGTGGGAGGATATGTCTTTACCTGTATGAAAAACACAATTTTACATGAATGAATGAGAAAGTTTTATTATGTTGGTTGCATTTCTCTACTGACAACAAACCTTCCCTCTGGTGAGCAGGTTTTTTCACAAAGGGCTTAAACTTATCTAAATGAAGAAAGTCAGTTCAAGACACCTGAGATTGATCATAAATCAGGACACATACATATGAGAGTTAAAGTGAAAGGAGACAAGATCCACTGCAAGTTTAGAATATCTAAAGGACACACAGGCTACACACACAGTGACATTAAACTGCTCTGTGTCCACATATGAAGAATACAAATACACTGTGAAATGACTATATAACAATGACAATGGCGTGTGGATATCACAGTCTACCTGCTCAGCTAGTGTGACCTTTACAACATCTGATCATATTTACAAATCCAACAATTGTTGGAGATTTTGAAGTGCAAAGTGACACATGGTGGAAAAGGTGGACGGTGGATGTTTTTCCCATTGACTGACTTGGTGAGTGGCCCAAAAAAGTAAATAACAGCACAGGTCAGTGTTGAACAGATTTAAGCACCTGCTCCGATCAAAGTTTAGTGTTGGATTATTTAGACCTTGATCAGATCAATAACATTGAACAAATACATTTATTTCATTACATGACAAGCTTATTGTCATCTGTGAAGTCAGTGAAAACAGTTGTTCAGTAAAGTTACAGTCATGACCACAACCATACCCAAGTATATTACTTTAACCAGGACTAATGAACTTTCCCTGAACCTGAACCTTGGACCTTAGGTGTTTTTTTTAACCACAAGGGTGTATAGACAAAATACAACAATAGGAAACCCAACAACAGTGTTTTCAGTTTGGAATTATATTGGATATTATATTATTTAGATTTATATATTATATTTTCTATTATATTTTCTGTTCTGTCTTTTTTGGATTGTTCTCTTTTATTTACAGTTTTATTTTTGTTGCCTGCACTTTCTAATAAATTTCACTTCCTTTGTATTTGCCTCCTTGATTAGTCGCAGCAGTGTTTGTTTTCCCATCTAGTTTACCTTCCTTCATTTCCTGTTGTGTATTTAAACACACGTTGCTATTGGAGTGTATACTTGCTTAATCGATTAGTTGCGGCAGTGCTTGTTTCCCTTTCATTTCCTGTGGGTGTGACCACTCATTCTGTTCGATGCTTACTGTCTGTCTGCTTATGAGATTTCCTGTTGTATATTCAGCTTTGTTTGATGGATATTGTTATCTGGTCCCTGTTGGTTTTTTCCTTGCCCCAATAAAAGTTTGGCTTTTGTTTTGGATACACACTTTTCAATCAACATCACTGTTTTGTTATTAGTTTTATGTCTACTGGAGTGTATAATGGAAGATGTTAGGCTGAAGTTCCCCATGTAACAACCAGTTTCATTTATTTTTGTAACAATTACTGTTGTCCAGAAGGGGGTGCTGTATAATAATTGCAAGAAACTAAGCTACCAAATAGACACATACACTAACTGGTTTAAAAAAAAATACAATAGAAAATGAAGAACTTTTTTTTTCATATTTTATTTTTTCATAAATGAGTGTTCTTTATGTAAATAAGACGCCTGTGATGTTTCTTTAAGCAAAGCAAATTAAAATTGTTGCAGTCCAAAAAATTAAAAAATAAACATCCAAATTCAAACTCTCTCTGCTTAAGTATGTCATTAATCTGCACTCTGAAAAGTAATGGTGACATTTCTACTTCTCTGGCATATTCTCAGTAGATCTTTCTCTTTCCTTTACTGTCAGAGACGGAGATGAGGTCACTTTGGAGTAAAGGAAAACAAAGGAACAAAGGAAGCAAAACCCAAGACAATGCACACATGGAACATGTTGTGGAGGTTTTCCATTTAAATAAAGCCTGCAGACGAGCACTGAGCGGTAGCTAACATTCTTTAATCCAAACACACAAAGAACAGAAAACCAAGCTTGTGGAGAGCCTACATGACCGCTGGGCAGGTCAGCAGAGTCTCACTGAGCCTAGCATGTCTCTCAGTTAAATACCTTCTTCAGGAACAAAAGGCAGTACACAGCTGTTTCACACATTAAGGTTCACACTCCCTTGTGGAGTGGTCTGCTTCCCCCAACTTCCTTATAACACCTCCACCATTTGTCTTACAGTATGGGTGTCAGACATGTTAAAATCCAGTGGCACCAAGGCATTATACAATAAAATAATGTGAATAATACATAAGTAAAAGAAATTCCTATACAAACACATGCTCAACAAAATAAGACAGGAAATGAGAAAGCTAAACAGGGGTGCTAGTTTCAGTCATTATGCAAATCCAGTGTTATAAGGATGGGGAAAGGATGAGACTAAAGCAGTCACTTGAATGAGTGGCACTGAAAATGTGAAAACCTGCCACTGCATCTACATGAACAGAACTAGCTTTTACACTAAGGGAGGAATAAAGCCAAAGCAACTAGGACCTGAGAACTAAATAAAATTTTTTAGGTTGCAAGAAAGTAAAGCAATCTAAAATACAAAATATTCCCACTTATGTTTATTCTGGTCATTGGTGGATAACATCTCCCCCGCTCTGCTGCTGCTCATTAAAAATGAATTAAACAAGGTAAATCATTAAGAGCAAAGTCTTGCTTACCATCACCAACATGGATTCTGTTAAACACTGAACAAGCAATATGAGTTTGCACAAGACAATTGGTACAAATACATACTTTGATATATGGCAGTGGACAGGAAGTGTGCTGTGGCTTTAGTGGAGATAAAACTCTACAACACATTATTTAATATCCTATAAAATTACTCTTATTTACCTCCACCAAAATT